TCATTCTCAGAGTCGTTAAATAACCACTAAAGAGCACCCTCAGAATATGTTTTTATTGAAATCTACACTAAAGAAATGTTAAAATGATAATTGAAAACTTGAATATAGCCTATTTTCTTTATGCAATAATTCGCCGTTATTCACAGTTAAATACGTTATTACAAAAAGACAAATAATCTTAAGAGATTTAACTAATAGGTATATTTTAGTGCTTTACCTTTTGTATTAATTTGTATTCAATAGTCATTAGCAGAATCCAAAAGACAATACCGGAGATTAACATAAACACGAGGTACCGCAGTATTCCCGGCTCCTCCCATTCGAAGTACGGATGTTCACGAACTATGGAAAAAATAGATTACACAATTACTATTGTATCACCAACTCGATAAAAGTCCTTGCGTTCTCTAAATATTTAATACTTCAACAAAACTAACCGCAACATGATTCAGAGAAGGATTCGCACAGAATCTCCATCGTGCATTCTCTCATATTTGGCAAAACGGCGGCCAAGTAGTCGCAGCTCTGCATACAAGTGTACTCCGTCAGACCTATTTGATTCAAACTCCTGAAATTGATAACTAACACATATACATCCCAATTCATTATAGTCAACTTAGGAATATTACATGTAATTATTGATATAGTTATTACCTGACGGACGTGACAAGACTATACAAGGGGAAAAATTGTAAAACTTTATCCATAATATCAGCCACTTCTTTCGTGTCTAGCTGTGGTGAGGCCAACGCTTGAACAATCTGAGATCCCATCATTCCTGCAAAATTATTAAAATTAAATTTATTTTTTAAATTCTATCGATAAGACATATTTATAGTTTGTATATCAAGCGAGCTGTTATATTTTAAACAAAACTTACCGAATAACACATTTACAAAGAACATAATCACGAAACCCAGCGCTGGTCCAGAAAACACGTGCGAAAGAAGATAATGCATCGGCAACATGGCCGCACCGTAGATCATCAAACAGAAGTATAAACGTCCTATAAAAATAAATTTCACAATATAGCAATTATATTATGAGACGTAAACCAATATTTAACTGTTCGTTAGCAAACCTAATTCCGTAGTAGTAGAGAGTCCGATGACATTGAAAGCGGCGCAGGAGATGATAATGGTGACGGCTATGAGAAGGTACCAGAACCAGTCGAAGACCGCGGCAGCGCCCCACAGCACTGCGGGCCGCACGCCGGCCGCCTTCTGCAGCAGCTTGGCGCGCAATACGCGCTCCTACAAACAACATTTATTCTTACCACGAACTAGTAGGAACGGAACGATCAAATTGAATTTCAACAATAATTGATTCAATATCTAATCCGAAGTAAATGATTATTTGAACTAACAAAATTACCTTAACGTAGAACATAACGAAAGCAGCACTTATTATTCCCAAGCTGTTACCGACACTGCTAGCAACTTGCATCGATAATAGAGTTATCATTAATTGTAAGTTTCCCTGAAATTACAACCAATTTTAAATATGAAGAAACTACACCATATATGTACATCAACAAAATATATGTCAATGCAAAAGGTAGTGACAAAATATCATTGTTCATTGAGTTATTGCACAAATCACTTTAAGTTTCGAGTTTTTATTTTTGAACAAAGAATGAACTTGAAATGACTTGCTTACTTGATCTCTGTAGACAGCTCTAAGAGGATGATTGAAGACATTGATATTGGCGGTGGCATTCCACGCCTTCAGCATGGCGGAGTGCACAGTGGCGAGCGAGGTGGCCACGTCGTGGTAGCCGAAGTTGCTGAACCACGCTGTGGCCGAGTCGTCGGTGAATGATGCGCCGATCAGCATACGATTGCGGATGTAGCCTCGGGTTAGTGAATTTTCCATCTGTTAAATATGATCAATTGGTTTTTTGTATTTCACCTTTAGTGGAGGACCTTTCTCTCTCAAAATATTGACATTTAAAAGCAAAAAGAATAGTTATTCAATTTATAGTTATCTACAAATCTACAAACCACCCAGTTTTGATATTCTGAAATTTCTTTGATATGATTATTATCGCAACTTACTTACATAAGTGTTAGAATGTTATATTAATAATATTTATGCCTTAGCTTTAGATCATACATATATATTTAGCCAATAATTAATAAGCATTTTCGCTTTTACGTTTATTTATTTTAAAGAGTGTTATTTCTTCTATTGTTTGTCGTTAAAGAGAGATGTGTTAATTTTGTTTATATCACTCTCAAATTGGGTGGTGTTGATAACCAACAGACAGACAATGATAATAATTGTTGACGTCACGAAGTATAATCTAAGCATTTATCTTTAATTTTCATGGAAAGTGATAAAAAGGGATTAACGTTTGAACTCTTTTATAATACTTTTTTTGATTAAAAATACACTTTACAAATAAAGAAGTGAATAAAATAACATGTTTTACGCTTCTTTGTTTCGTCTGCGAAGTGCCAACTTAGCTTCTGTGTAAATCTATTTTTACCATCTAATCATTTAGTTTGAACCACATGTGGCTGGGATAAACTTCTTGTCTCATCTACTACTTATATATCTACCAGTAATGTAGACCTAATGTTAATACTAAGATTACTGGTTCGCTTTCCTAGTGTCTATGAAAAATTCCGTAAAAGATATGGACAATAAACTGTATAAACTAACTTGTTCCATGTAATAATCGTCGATC